GGGCCAGACGCCGCACGACCGCCGCAGACACGGGCCGCATGGGTCAGCAGGGCCTCCAGCAGGGGGGAGCCCGCCATGATGCTCTTCCGCACTGCCAACCGCAGCTCCAGCCACCCCAAGACCAGGCCGCTGCAGTGAAGCGCGCCGTGCCGGCTGCGAGCGACGCCCCACGGTGTTGTATTTTAAGGGGACGATTCCGCTGCGCCTGCGCCCGCTGTCCCTGCCTCCCCCCCAAAGGATTGGTTGGCGCTGCTGGTGGCGCCGGGCACGCTGCTGCTGCTGCGGTTCCATCAGGAGTGGGCCAGGTGCGCGCCTGCGGCAAGCACGCTGCCCTCGGGTCGGCGCTTTATAGCGCCGCCTGTCTGTGGCCCAGGGGCCCGCCCGACACCCAGCTGACTCAGCCGTGCAGTGCGGCATCACACCACACATGTGCAGTCGTCAGGCACACGCGGCCGCAGCAAGCCTTGCGCAGATGGGCCCGCCCTCACGTCTGTCGCTGCCGCGGCACGGCACGCGTGCCTGCCCTCCCCCCAGGCTTGCTGTCGTGCAGCGCGTGTCGCTCTCTGCGGGTGAGCAGCGAGGTCACGGAAAGGTGCATGAGCAATTTGGCTCATTTGATGGTGACGCCCAGTCAACTTCCCACGCCCGCACAAGACTGTCTGTGGCTGTCCTGCTGTTGCCCCTCTCCCCGTTACCATAGCCTTCCCGGCCCTCTGCGGTGCCCAAAAACATTCACAATTGCGGGTACCCCATCACACCACATCCGCCCACTGTAACGCACCCCATGGGGCGTCCTTCGCAACCCAAGCTGTGCGGCGCTGCTCGCCCACGCCCCCTCCCTTCGCCTGCCCACCCGTCTCGCTCCGCAGCCCCGCACCCCAGTCACCTCGGGCACCTCCTGGCGGCGTCGCCCGATGGCTGCGCCCTCGCCGTTGCAGCGTGCGAGCGGCGCGTGGCGGTGCTGCCATTGGACACTGCCGATGGCGGCGGCGGCGGCGGTATGCGGATTGGGGCCCCGGCGCTGTTCACAGGGGCGGGGAACGCCGCGCCTGTCGCCGGCGCGCGGCCCCTGCCCGTTGCCAGTGGCGGCGGCGGCAACAGCGGCGCGGGCTGCCCAGGGGAGGGCACAGGCGCTGTGGCGGAGGCTGGTGGCGGCCTGGGGTCGATTTGGGACATTGCCTTCCTCGACACGCCCGGTGCTGGCGGCGGCGTCGGTGTTGGCGCCGGCGTCGGCGGCAGCTTGGCTCCCAGCCGCATCGCCCGTGCCGGCGGCTCGCGCGCGCCGAGCCCCGCGCAGCACCTGGTGGTGCTGACTCACCGCAAAGGGGAGCTCTCCAGCGAGCTGCTGTTCCTGCGCTGGGCGCGCGCCGGCGGCGGCGCCGCCGCGGGCGCGCTGCAGCAGCTGCTGAGCGTGGCCGCGCCGCACGGCGGCCGCGGCGCGCTGGTCGGCGTGCCGTGCCGGCTTGCGCCAGTGCCGGGCAGCCCCTCAGGTGGGCGGAAAGGAATGCGCGCCCGCCTGTTAGCACCCGGATGCTGGAAGCATCCCAACCCAGCCATCTTTAGGCCGTGTCTGACAGCAGGCCTTGGCTGGCCTGCCACCAGGCTGCGTGTTTACGATGAGGCCTCAGTGGGGCGCCGCCCTCACGCGTCTTGTCTGCCTGACACCGGAAGGGCGACCCCTGCGACAGGCGGCATAGCCAAGCTGCTGCTGCTGCTGCTGCTGCTGCTGCTGCTGCTGCTGCTGCTGCTGCTGCTGCTGTTGATGCTGCTGCTGCTGCTGCTGCTGATGATGATGATGCTCTTGATGCTCCTGGTGCTACTGACTCTGCAGTGCCACTCCGCGCGCTGCCGCCGCGCCCTCCCTTGTGCGCATGCGTGGCGCCAGGTCTGGTGGTGATTGGCGACCGCGGCCTGGCGGCCCTGGACCTCGGCGGCGCGTCTGGCGCGCCTGGCGCTTTTCGGCTGCTGCAGGAGCAGCACCAGCAGACTCTGCGGCAGTTCGAGGAGCAGGAGCAAGAGCAGCAGCAGCAGCAAGATCAGCAGCAAGATCAGGAGCAGGAGCAGGAGCAGGAGCAGGAGCAGGAGCATCAGCAGCAGGATCTGGGGCTCAACGGCGCCGCAGAGCGGTGCAGCCGCACGAGCCTGGCGCTGCTCGCGCAGGCCGTCGCGGGCAGCAGTCACGACATGCTGTTTGCGCCCACGGGGCCCCCGCGCGAGGTCGCCGCGGCGTTGCCGGCGCTGGTGCCGTTGGAGTCCTCTCCGTTCGCTGCGCCTGGTGTCTCGATCGCGGACGGCTGGGACGCCCCGCCGCCCGGGAGCATGCTAGCCTGGCGAGCGCATGCGCGCCCGGATGTGGTGAGGTCCAATCATGCATTGCGAGCCTTTGCTAGTCACGCCTTCATCTTCAAGCGCACATTTGGCGTGGGAAAGCACGGCTCGATCGCGACCCCGCGCCATGCCCCCACCCCCCATCGCTTTGCCCGCCCCCGTTCCCTCCTTTGCGGGGCGCCACCTGACGCCGCGCCCCGCCCCCACCTCGCAGGAGGGTCGTGAGCGCGAGCAGCAGCCGTCCGCAGCGCCACCAGGATCCATGGCCTGGGCGTGGCTCCCGCCGCTGCTGCTTCCTGACGGTCCGATCTCGGCGGCCGACGCTGCAGCTGACGCGATCGCTGCCCTCGACCCGCCCTGCGGCAGCCCCATGCAGCTGGACGGCCCCCCGTCGCCTCCGCCGCCGCAGCAGCAGTTGCCCTCGCGCGGCGTCGAGCGCCGGCTGCTCGTGTGCCGCGTGGCGGGGAACTTGGAGGTGTTCTCGTTTCCCGCGATCGAGAGCGAGGCGGCCGGCTCGTGCGCTGGCGGCGACGCAGGCGCCGCTGAGCGCGTGCTGGGGTCGCTCGTGGAGGTTCATCAGTCGCGCGCGGCGCTGGCGGCGGTGGCGGCGCTGCCGCAGGGGCGGCTGCTCGCGGTGCAGCGGAGCGGGGACGCCCTGCTGCTCTCGCAGCCGCCGTCGACGCCCCTGCTGCAGCAGCAGCCCGGTCATGTGCTGGCGGCACGTGAGCGCAGCCGGCCGCTCTCGCCGCCCGCCGCCGCAGCGCCCGCCGCCCCACCCTCCGACGGCCCCTCTGGCGTTGATCGGGCGCGGCGCGGGGCCCCGGCCGCGCCCGCGGCCGAATGGGACTATTCACCGGCGAGGGTCGACTCGGATGCTGACATGGACCCCCGCGGGTCTGCGACGCCGGCGTCCCCCATGCAACGCGACACGCCGCCAGCGTGGACGCCGCCCCCTGACATGCCGCTGACTCAGCTGATGGCCACGACGCCGCTCGCTTGCCACGCGCCCGACGGCGCCGCGCTCGCGGCGCCGCCGTCGCC